TAAGGTCATATAAGTGCCGAAGATTAGAGGTGTTACAAGAGAGTAACAAACAGAAAAAAAGAAGGAGGGGAGATGAGGATGACAGATATTTGATAGGTAAGAAGAAGCAAACCACACCAGAGCACCCGCCAACCACCCGCAACAATTATTTTCATGTTATTTAACCGTGCAAATTTACACCTAAAAATAACTCACATACACAGAGATGTACAACGGAGAGAGAGAGAGAGAGAGAGAGAGAAAAGGATAAAGAGTGAAAAGAATAGGAGAGAGATATAGAAAGATTTAGAAAGAGAGCACAAGTGCAGAAGAAAGAGAGAGAAAGATAGAAAGAGAGTGTGATGGAAGAAGAGATGAGACATGGACAGAGAAAGAAAGAGAGAGCGAGTAAAAGAAAGAATCGAGAGAAGAGGAGACATAGACACAGAGAGAGAGGGAGGGAGGAAGACAGACAGACAAACAGACAGACTATGTGTACAGCTACGAGTTTTACATTTTACAGCACTTCCAACACAAAAAGGTCATTTAAGCGCAAGAAGGTTAGAAGTGTTACAAGAGAGTAACAAACATAAAAAAAGGGAGGAGAGATAAGGACTTTAGTTTAGTTTTAGTAGTTGTTTTACGGCGCTCGCAACTGCATAAGGTCATATGAGCGCCAGAAGATTAGAGGTGTTACAAGAGAGTAACAAACATAAAAAAGAAGAAGGGTAGATAAGGACGATAGATGTTGTTTGATAGGAAAAAAGAAGCAAACCACACCAGAGCACCCGCCAACCACCCACAATCGAGACAAGAGGAGAGACAGACACAGAGGGAGAGGGAGGGAGAATCAGACTGTGTTTACGGCTACGAGTTTTACGTTTTACAGCACTTCCAACACAAAAAGGTCATTTAAGCGCCAGAAGATTAGAGGTGTTACAAAAGAGTAACAAATATAAAAAAGAAGAAGGGGAGATAAGGACGACAGATGTTCAATAGGAAAGAAGAAACAAACCACACCAGAGCACCCGCCAACCACCCACGAGATAAGGACTACAGCTGTTTCATAGGAGAAAAGGAGCAGGCCACACCAGGCCACACCAGAGCACCCGCCAACCACCCACTCCCGCTCACCTGATATAGAAGGCGTCCCCTGCCTCGTGGCTCGCCATGATACGGTCGTAATCTGAGTGGAAGAAGAAATATCACACAGGTCAGATGGGAACAGGGCAATACAGTTAAATAAACATGAATGAACACACACACACACACACACACACACACACACACACACACATACAAACACACACACACACACACACACACACATTCCATGGTGACTTCCCCATAAAACTGCTCAGTTTTAGGTTCAGTAGAGGGTTTTACAGCGCTCGCAACTGCATTAGGTCATATGAGCGCCAAGGGGTTGATGTCAACAGAGAAGTCCTTACAGGGAATCAGGCTTACTCTGCTCACCTCTCTAACTTCAACAGCACAAAGTCTGCTTTGACTAAAAAGGCACCCCAGAAATATTGGGTTACAAGAGTGTGACAAACATACAAAAGAAGTAGAGGAAATGACAATAGCAAGGATAAGTAAAGAAAAAGCAGCAGTTCCCTGTTGCAGTTCAGGCAGTTATGAGCATGACATCGATAAATCAGACCATTTACAATTCTACTGTGCACAAGAACAGGTTAATGTCCCCCCTTTGGAAAAGGTCTAAAGACACTTCAGTCAGTAGCACCGCCCCACGGGGCATAACTGGTCAGATAAGACACACACAAACAAACACACAAACTCACCCTCCTTGCGGTACTGCACCACCATGGTCACCTCCCCCATCAAACTGGTCAGATAAGACACGGCCTCTTCCCGTGTCAGACCACTAATCTCTTTTTCATTGGCCTGTGGAAAATAGAAGAAAAAACCCCAGCAACTTTAAACAAATGGAATAGAAAATGGTGTGGCATCGGAAGCTTAGTGGCTAGGCTACCGGACTCGTAATCGTGAGGTTGCGGGTTCGGGGGTTCGAGCCGCGGGCCCGCATTATGTCCTTGGGAAAGGCACTTTACACGAATTTTCCTCACTTCTCCCAGGTGGGAATGGGTACCCGGCCACAGACAGCGAAAGATCTAGTCTGTATGTTAGTGTTTTAGTGCCTATAAATGACTGCTTGCACTGTATGCTTCCCAGGAAGTTGAGGTCGTTTCAGAATGCTCTCAGGTCTGCTGGGGTAATAGCGTAGCCTGCAGTTGGGCGGGGATATCCGCTATACAAATGCTGTCTGTTGTTATTAAAGGTGCATGTTTATGTGTGGATTCCTCTCCTGGCTGCATTCCCCTTCTGTACAATAGTTACAAAAATGCCTGTGGCGTTCTCTCTCTCTCTCTCTCTCTC